ACTAATGACACGCTGCCGGAAAGGTTGTTCTATTTTTGGATCTCATAAAAAAAGGCAATGACGCAACGTTAAAAAAAAAGAATTATATAATTGAATTGAAGATAGTTCAATTATTCAACTTGAAAAAATAGTTTATGGATCGACGGGCGAACGTCATCTCGTTTCTAGTTTACAAACCTTATCCGTTTCGGTTTCGAAAATTCTTCTTACTCCGAAAAAAAAAAAATTCACTCCGAAACCCGAAACCCCGAAACACACTCTCTATAAATAGATTCGGCCGAAGCATCAAATCACGTCTTGGCGATTTCTAATTTTTCTCGACGGTTAGTTATTAAATCATACTTGTAATTAATAGGAGTGTTCAAGAAATAAAAATTTGTATCGTTCAGCCCCTTTACAGAACTAAAAAAAAATTGGCAATATTTCCGATCTAATAAAAAAGAACAATACATCATATCATTATTGGATAATTTTTTTTACACGCCAAATTTCGGAGTTAACCGTTACATACATGGCAAAATCTTTCATATTCTTTTTCTTATAAGGCGAAGAAATTATTTTAATCATCATGCACAGCAAGTAACAAGGACCCAGTCATGGCGCAGTTTATGTTTTTAAAAAAAAAAAATTTTTTTTTTTTTTTTAAGTTTGTTAATAATTTCCAAAAATGATTTTATTCTTAATTACAAAATAAAAAAAAAAAAAAAAAGGTTTTTCAATATATATAAAACGGGTTTATGGTTTAATATGAACAATAAGCTAAAAAAAATGAATTGTTTTAATGATAAACATCATGTATACAAGTGATTAAAATGTGGAGAAATTAAACAAAAAGGGTCAATGCATTCACGCATCAAATATAATGTATAAAGGTTAATTGTTTGTTTTGGTATTATGTCTTGAAAAAAAAAAAAAAATAAAGTTCTTTTTTTTTTGATCGAAGGACAATACGAAAAATTTCGGAAAATATTGAAACTTCTTTTTAGGTCGGTCAAATATGCATGATCATCTAGTATAAATTTTTTGTCGATTGTAAAAGAACGAAAAGAGATAAATACTGTATGTTGGGAAAACGATAGGAGTTACCATACCTTTTGCACCTCCAAAGTGTTTGCTTTGAATTCAAAACAGGACACGGTCGAAACCCTTTACGAAAAAAAATTTTTCATAAAAATTGAATTCCACAAACTCTAATTAAATTCAACAAGGGAAGGCATTACATAATATACTTCGAAACAAATAAATGGTTTGTTTGTTAGAAATCACGAACAATATGATTCTCAAGAACTGATTGTCCTTAAATGAAACGTGGATGTTTGCTGAAAAAATTTTCCGATTTCTTTGGCTGTCAAATTTCATACTAATTCAAATTGGGAAATACAGAAAAATGTGGGGTAATAATTGATTATAAGTTGCTACACAATACGATTACTTAATCTATTATTTCAAAAAAAAAAAAAAAACAAATATATATATAAATTTTATTTTTTTTTTTAAAAAATTATTTTGGGGGTTGGGCGTGAGGGTGAGAAATTTGAGTTTGTGAATTGTTGCGAAGGGGCGAATCCCTAATTATGTTTACATATTTAGAACATAAAATAGTAAATAAAAAAAGTAAAATTTCCCCAACCGCTTTGTGTCGTTGCCCGTTCAAGCAAGAAGATGCAATGAATCATTACCAATTTCTTTTTCTTTATGAGATGTCTTTATGAACTTTATTTATAATGAATGAACGAATGCAGAATAAATTAATGGCGTCGAATGACACTCCATCGCATTTTTTAACGAGGATAAGAATGATTCCTTATCTCCCAAGTTCGGGATGCAATATAACGAATTTTAATCTGTTACAATAAGGAAATGAATGTGGAGTAACTTTCCCACTTTATCGGTCATTTTGTACCAAACAAAGGAGTTGGTTCTAGATTGTGGCACGTGACACTCATGCTGCGCCAAAGCCCCCGTAATCTGTACTAGATTTGGGCTAATTGATGCGATTTTGTCTCATATAATCATTTAAACTAAATCAGCTAATAAGAGAATATCCGGCCAAAAAAAAAAAAAAAAAAAAAAATTAAATAAAATTTGTCAATGCAAGTTTGGTGAGACATTTATATAAAGAGGGTTTCTTTGACAGTTTCTTTTTTCATTGACACCTGGTCTGTTGCAGTTGTACAACTTTACGTGATGTTTCAAAAGTCGAATCTGATGGTAATTTGGGCGTCATATTATGCGCGTACCCAACACAACCATTTGGGAATGATAGGAGTGGTGTCCTGCAATCTTAATTGAAATCTCTTTTTCTTTTTCTTTCTTTTTTTTTTTTTTTTCCTCTAAATTTTTTTTTTTTTTTTTTTTTGTTCTCTTTTTGCACAACTTGCTGCTTTAAAACAACCTTCTGCTCGCATAATTCCGACATAAAAAAAAAATTTAAAAATTTAATGCAATATCATGTTGTTTATGCACATTATCCATATCATCATACATCATATGAGGATCATTACGGGAACTATAGGAAGCAAACAAAACTGCATGAAAAATCAGCATTGACCTAACCGCAAAGAACGGACGGAATGGGCTGCGCCACACTCAGGGAAAAAGGTTCTTTAAACAGAACATGGCGGGAAATGACACAATGATCACAAGATCTTCAAACTTTCTCGACCATGTGGGCAATTGATTCGGTGTTTACAAGTACCAGTAAAAATAGACTCGGTTATAATTAGGACTCACGGCCACAATTCAACGAGGTTTGTACGGTGGCTTAAACGTTAATTTCGCGTGGCAATCCGTATTAAGCTCGTTGGCTGCGATGATTAAGGAAACCTTGAGAAAACTGATGTAACAGATAACGTGTGAAGCTCGTGGTGCTTACATTCAAGTTTATGCAAAAAAATTTCACCTGTCAGTTACGGAAATTATTTCTGTAAGTCCATAATCTCCGAGCTAATTTGTACGCAGGATTCCCATCGATAACATGAAAAATTCGGTACTGTGGCTTTATTCAAAAAAAAAATAAAATAAAAATAAAAATAAAAAATAAAAATAAAAAATTTTAAGTTATTAAAAATAATTTTTTTTTTTTTCCTCCTTAAACACAAAGAAAATACCATAAGAAGGTTATTGTAAAAATTACAAAGAAAAAAAAGGTTTATCCCCATAAATGGAATAAAAAGATAAGCCTCTTTTTCCAAACAACAAACAAAATGCTTTATATAGTCAAATGGATGACTATTTTAAAATAAACTTTTTTTAAACTTGTATAACATAATTGCCTAGTGATTCGGATGATAGATTTCTAGGTAAATGCTAATTGGGAATTGCCTCATAGGTTGTAAATGACTCGATATGAGAGGTGTGGCAAATTATTATTTCTCATATTACATTTATTTTTATCATTTTGTGTGTGAAAAGAATTCCGATTAAAATTGACAAGTTAAAAAAAAAAAATTAATTAGGGATGTGCCTGTGTGGGGACGTTTCCTTTTATTCTGACTATCCTCAATTTGGATAAATAAAATTTCATCATTCATATTATTTTCACAAGCTTCTTTGTCTCATAGATATAATAATCAATCCTGATAAAGCAAGATTTGTCATTACTCTTAATGAAATGTCGAAAAATACGCAGCAACGTCAAATGTGTTTTTCGAAGAAGGGAAGAGAATGTCGAAGAGGAATATTCTCAACAATTGTCCCTACGCATTGACCACCAACGTCCTGCGCCTTCATCTTACTCCTTTCCACTACCAAACCGTTTCATAAGTGAAAAGAACTACAAATGGTTGTTTTGTTTTTTTTTTTTTTTTTGGTTCCGTTCGCATATGAAATTACGAAATTAAAATTACGAACGATATTTTTATATGTTTGGGTTATGAAATGGTTCCGAACGGTTGGAAATGAGGTCGGATTTCAAATTTAATTACAAAAATGGGAAAAAGCGAAAGAACGAGTTATGGGGGGTTAAATTAACGTCATATTCAAATTAACGTACGGATATAACCATGCAATAGCCGACATCAATTCCCGACGATCGGACTTTAGTGTCAATGGGGGGTGAGGTTTTATCATCTAAAAATATTTTTAAAGTAAAAATATTTATACTGTAATCCTTATCGTCTAATAAAGGCTCACTTTGTGAAAATCCCCAATTTCTTGCAGAAGAAACTGACTTGTAGGATTTTCAAGAAAGAAACCAATTTTTTTTGGATTACTTAATTACTTATCCTTCTTTTTTTTTGTCATGTCACTGTGTAATCCAGTTCATTACTTTTAGTGGTCTATATGCCGGGTACGTGTAACCCCTTCCCTATCAATTGAATTCAACAAAACTTTCCATATGTTAGATTTCAATCATCACAACATATTCTACCACATCTACTATTTTAAATTTAGTTTGAAACTATTATAAGTTGTGTCACATCCGAAACACCGCTTCGCACAACGTGGGACCAAAGCAAATATACATATACTTTAATATTTTGTATGACAGGGGAGAGATAACGTTCTTTAATATATGTGATGATATTCATTACAGATAGTTTATATTGTTTTTTTTTTTTTTTTTTTTTTAATAATTTTTTTTTTTTTTGGTATATAAATATATATATAAGTTTTCACATTTAAACATATATATACCGTCCACCTTTCCTCCTTTTTTTTTTTTTTTGCTGTCTCAAGTGTTCCTTATACTAAAATTTCCTGCCATAGACCATTTCTGTTGTATATATATTATATTTAATATATATATATATAGAATTAAAATAAAATATCCATAAATTTCGTTTTTTTTTGTTTGCTTCCTATAAATTTTTAAGAAAATTATTTCAAGTGTCATTCATTAAAATAAATTTCTCTCCCCTTATAAAAATAAGTTCAATACCTTATTAGTGCTTTTTTTTTTTAAGTATTTATTGACAGCTTGAAGTTTCTATCCTTGTTGGTTTATCTTATATAGGGTTTTTCGTTATATTATGACAAATTTTTCCACTGCTCTAACCATGCAGTTACAAGCTTCTTCCCTCGCTCAAAATTTACAAGCCAATAACGGTCTCAAAGAAATGGTTGTAAAAGCTAACGAAAATACTACCACAAGCAATTCTACCACTTCCGTGCAAATGACCTCAAATAATACCGGTGCAGTTGCTGCGGCAAACGGCGATCAAGAAACTTTCATACCTCAAATGCCACAACAACCCCAAGTCAAAATTACAAAAGGTGGTAACTCGGTACCAAATTTTGAATACGTATCTTACGATCGAGTTCAAGATTTATACGAGCAGAATAAGGGGACCTTGTATTTCATTCCGGAAGGTTTTGAGCCCGTCCTAGTTCCCAATGACGCAAAAGCTCAAACCGTCACAAATTTATTGGAGAATGCGAAACCCGTATCAGCTGCCCCCAACGTTCCTAGAATGTTACCTGATACCGATGTTCGTCTTCCGTCATTCGCCCTCCCATGTGGCGTAGCCGGTCCCCCACCAAAAGCTGCTTCATCAAACGCAAAGACAAAGGTCAAGAAACCACCAAGACCACCAAATGCTTTCATCTTGTACCGTAGAGCTAAACAACCCGGTATCGTCGCTAGGCATCAAGGAATTACCAATAATGAGGTTTCAAAGGAGATTGGTAGAATGTGGCATGAAGAACCGGCCGAAATCCGTCAAAAGTTTCAAAGGATGGCCGATGCCGCTAAGCAAGAACATATGAAAAAATACCCTGAATACAGATATCGTCCAAGAAGACCACAAGAAAGGAAGCGCAGGATTCAACCACGTGAAGATTCACCATCAGGAAGTAGTGCCTCGCCTACTTTGCCCACGCAAAGTTTACCAATGCTTGATACTAATGCATATTACCCAAGGCGTATCTCCTCAATGTCAGCCGATGGTGAAAATTCAGAGATTTATACCCCCACCACCATGGTGAATTCCCATAATAATATCATTCAACATCATCCTCAACATCAACAATTGATATTTGCTGACGGTCAAATAATGAATTCTCCACAACAACTTAATCAAAATTATATGGATGCCACAATGGCAAAATACGATTTCACTTACCTTGATGATTCGGTCTCTCAGAATTCGTATGATGGCAGTCCTATATCGTCAACAAACACAACTTTTGTTAATACCCCTATGACAACAAATCCTGGTGGCATAGATTTTAACGTATTTGATGCGTCACAAACCGGGTCGAACGATGCTGTAAATTTTATCGGCTTGGGTGACTTTGACGCTTACGATCAGTACGAAAATATGGCTGCTCTCTCTTTTATTTCCGCTGATGATCAACAATACCTTCGTAACAATTCGCAATTCGTGAAATTCGACTACTAAAAAAAAAAAATCTATTCCACTTTTTTAATTTAAAGAACTTTTTTTATAATTTTCAAAAAAAAAAAAATTCACTTTTTTTTAAACCTGTAAATTTTTTTTCTGGTAAGCAACCTTTTTTTTTTTAACATTATGGTGCGGCGCAATAACATGGTTTGAGAAACTTTGCTAACCTGATTTTTTATGTTTTCGCAGATATAACTCGATATATCAAACCTCGTTTTTTTGTTACTATATTTTTCTTCGTATATATTTTTTTCCATCGTTTTTTTATTGTTAAATACTTTTTTCTTTTCGCACAAACACAAACAAACACAAACAAAAAAAATCTCGAAAGTTACCTTCACTTTTTTTTCTATTAACTTTATTGCATTTTTGCATAACATTCCTTCTCCTTAAATTACAAACAATTATGATTCAACAACAAAATTAAGGTAATTTCACAAGAAATTGAATGCTATTTTGAATTTTTTGAACGCAAACATTGCAATATTTACAATTTTTACGTATATGCTAATCTCATCCCTTTTATTGCCTCACCTATAGATTAAACATTCACATTAAGCCAAAAATTTCATTTCACGCATTTAATGACTTTTGTTAATTATTCGAATAATAATTTAACGCAACTTCGATTGTTGAATTGTTGAATGGAAGGGGAGAAGCAATCAAAAAGAAAAAAATTGCTCCCTTTTTTTATCAAAAAAAAAAAAAACCTCGAAAATTTTTAGAAATTTCATTTCCACCCCCCTTTTGTTTCACGGGCAACTCTCATGACCTACTTTCCAGAGAGTAACTATTATCCGGGTTTTTTCTTTTTTTTCGCACAAGGTTCTTCAATTGTGCTTTTTTTTTTTAAAAAAAAAAAAAATCAAAAAAAAATCAAAAAAAAAAATCAAAAAAATTTTTTTCTTTATATGTCGTGCAGAGAAAGTGTGAACCAGGCTAAATATCGTTTTTTTTGGGAAAATTCCAAATCAGTTAGTATTCATTTTGCTCCACTGAAACTACTGTACATTTATGCCTTCACTTCTCTCCAATTTAGGTTTATGCTTCTCTTTTTTTTATTGATTTGCTTCTCTGTTATAATTCTAGTACGACATTTTATCTTCTCCCCTTGGTTAATAAAGTGTCCTAGGTTATATAATATTTATGATAAGAAAATTTTTTATTTAAAAATTTTAATGTATAGTTTTTTTATATTAATAATTTCTAATATAATCGTAATGTCATGTATAAAAACAAAAAAAAAAAAAAAAAATATTTTAATAGTTATTTGCATAATTATACTTTTATAACTTGGAAGAGAAATTCGGCGATACTCCGAATTTTTTATTAGGACCATTACTTATTATAGCAGTCCTTTTTTAGCACATAATTATTATTTGACGCAAAAAAATACGCATTGTAAATCACAAACACAAACATTTCATGCATTCAACCTTTTCGTTTCTTTTCCTAATGTTATATATATTTTTTTTTATATTACCCCCATTTTCAATTTTTCCGCATTTGTAAAAAAAAAAATCATCAATTTTATTTGCATTTAATTCCTACTTGCATTTTATTAATATATTAATAGTTATTTAACAAAGCGTTAAAAAAAAAAAAAACGATTTTTAAATACATGAGAAATAATTTTTTTTAAGATCTCTTTTTTTAAAAAAAAAAAAAAAAAAGAAGGAAAGAAAGAATTACTTTTTTTTAATAATAAAAAAAAGAGATTAATTTTTTTTTTATTTGAAACAAAACCTTTTTTTTCCTAAAACCTTTTTTTTAATTCTTCATTTGGTCTTGATAACTGAATTTGGGAGGTTTCGCCGAATTTTTTTTTTTGTGTGTACTGTAAAAAGCGCTTTTATGTTTTATGTGATAAGTCTGCACTTACCCTTCATTTAAATCCATAACCTACCGGATACGATAAAGTTTAATTTTAAATTTTTCTCAATGGATTAAAGTATTAATTCACAGCAAAACACATGCAACTACATGAAAATTTACATCTTATCACCCGCAGTAAACGCCAAAGAAAAAATCCCGAAAGAAAACAATGAAATTTGCCCCCGTCTTTTAACTACCCAAAAGGAAATTTACCTTGTTATCAAAGTTTATCTATTTATGAGCTTTCATTTGGTTAAAGCATTTTTTTTTCTAAGAAAAAAAATATAGATCATTTTGTTTTTTAAGAAGAAAAAAAAAAAAAGTAGAATAATTCGAGTTTTCTTTGGTCGCAAAATAAAATTTAAATAAGGAATTCATATTTCTTTACAGAGATTCATTGACAGGTTCGCGCATTTGATCGCTCTCAACGATTTTTTTTTTTTTCAGATGATTGAAAGGGGACCAATCATAGCACAAGGCGACGACATCGTGTCAAAAAAAAAAAAAAAATAATTTCGTGAGTTCTGTAAATCAGGTTATCATCCGTTAAAAGATGTCAAATATAGACTAATTACATATTTTATTATTTTTTTTTCATTATTATTTTTTTTTTTTTTGTTTCAAAAACTGAGAAAGAAAAAGTGTCAAAATTTAATTTTTGAATGAAAAGGAAAAAAAACTTTTTTCTCCGTCTCCTTTTATTCTTGTGACCAAACTTTTTTTCTTTCTCTTTTTTTTTTTTTTTTTTTTTTTTTTTTTTTTTTTTTGTTTTTTTTTATGTACTTGAGAAAATAAAAAATAATTTCTTTCTACACAGGTGGTGCCAAACAAAGATACTTGATATAGTAGTGAAAAATTTCAACAATAATCATCGTTTCGTGTCACGTTCGTAACGAGTGTTACTTGACAAGTTAAAAAAAATATCACATAATCACATTTGAATTTTTTATATAATTGAACACAAAAGAAAGAAGGTTTTTGTTGTGGGTTGTGGGTGAGATGTGAGATGTGATAGGTTTAATAAGAAAACCTTGATTTAAATTAGGTTTAAAAAAAGAAAGAACGAACAAATAAAAAAAAAAAAAAACTTTAATGAATTACCATAAATTTCATGAGTTTCCCGTAGTTTAAAAATTTTATGTGGTGTAAATTAAATTATATTTAGTAGGTACATGATCACTACTTTTTTATATGCATACATACATATATGTTGTATATACAATATTTAGTTTATTTACTTTTTATTTTACTTATTTATTTATTTATTTATCCTTTATCAATCTTTGTTCATTTCAAATAAATATTCCTTCGAAAAAAAAACAAGAAAAAAAAAAAAAAAAAAACGAGATGTACAGGAACCTTTTGAAAAGGAGCGCCAAGGGCGCCAATCAGGAATATTTTTTTTTTTTTTGTCTTCCGATTAAAAGTGTTTTCCTGTTTATTTTATTTTTTCTTCCCTTTTTTTATTTCACCAAATATACCTGTTTATGAGGTATCGACGTTATCTACATACTAAATTAGACGACCTTATCATCTGTTAATTTAACCTTCTGAAATAAAAATCTAAATTTATTCAAACTCCCCAAAAATTGACCCAAGTAAAACTTTGTAACAGGTAACCTAATCACCCTGTCATTAAACCTGTCAAACAGATTTTAATGAACCCAGAACAGGTACCCTGACCATCTCAAATGATTAGGTCTAGAATAAAATCTAAGAAATTCAGTTTAAATACTTTAAAATCATTATACTAGTGGCTTTTGAAATGTCGCTAAATTGGGGGTTCGCCGCTTCTGTGGCTTCGCTCTGGGTAACGATGGCTTAGCATTCATTTAAAAATATATATCCATCAAAAAAACTCTTTCATTGGAAGGGAGTTGATTAGCCGGGTTTAGCATAATTTGAGTGAGCAATAATCGAATTACATTTAAGTTTCAATCCAAAAAACAATCATGTGATACTTTTTCGGTTATCAAGGAAAGAAGCAAGGATGATTAATTTGTTTACTAAAATCGTTTCAAAAATAAGGTAAATCTCCCCCCCCCCATTTTTTCTTTCAGAGGGTTTTTTTTTGTTCATTCTGTAAAATGGTGAAATTCAAAATTTCACTTTGGGGAAAGCTTATGTTAGCTTCAATTGTAATTTATTGTATATCTTTAACGTTATTGGAAACTCTTGTAATTATGTTTCATCTGGATTTTGTCTCTAAATTTATACTTACACAAAATGGTGATGGAATCTCCGAGTCCGATTTGATTTATCACGCAATGTGAGTGGTCACTTGGTTTCATTCATTCATTATTATTATCATTATCATTTATTTATTTTTTAACAAAAAAAAAAAAATCAACACACCTCCACCCTTGATTTATTGGTTCGTACAGATTTATCGCATCGCTCGTGTTTCAAGTGATCCTGTGTTTGGATGCGTTAATTCAAAAGAATTCAATTCAACTTAAAGCTCTATTAGCATTCAATATCTTTTCGCTCGCCTACGCGGCATTGCAGATTCAACAACATATAACACTCGAAGAAGAAGGAACAAGTCAAGCGATATTTTCCCCTGATGATATAACCAAATTCCCAACGCCAGAATTTACCAAACAGTATTACATCAAGAAAATGAGACCGATTGAATACATCATAGCCGGTCTAGTATTAGGATATTCGATGATCCTGGGATTATTCTCGTATAAATTAATGAGCGAATTTGGATGGGAGAATTATAAGATTTATTCCGGAGATTTACAAGTTCGCAACGCATTGCTTTCACTCACATTACTGCAAGCCTTAATAAAATTAGACGTCTTCTTGATCTTATCATATGCCTTGCAACTCATACCATCAAAATCCATTGGATACTCTGATTCCAAATTTGAGACCGTATCAATCTTTATCGGAGGGTTCATTATACTGTTTATGGCTTGGTATGCCGTGTCAAAAGAACTGAAATACATCCTATTGTTTGTGATTAATTTATCCATCTTTTCTTTAATTTATATTGTTTATAGGATGGTTAAAATCCTGATTCCAAGAACGGATGGAATTGATCCTTATAAGTTTACTAGAAAATTATTGTTTTTTACTTTAAGTACCACCTTTGTGTTCATTAGTATTACTAT